TATGCTTTTTGTTGGCTCTGCAAAAGGTAGTTTCAAAATATGATAAACTCTGTCCAAGAGAGACAGGGACTGAGACTGATTTTCAAACCTTTAAAAAAATCCTGGTTAGCCATGTGTTTTCCTACTTAGGGGAATACTTATTTCAGCAGTGATTAGCTTGATAAAAGTATTTATTGTTTGAGTCTTCTGTCCTATTACAGGTTGACTAAAAACCCTGAGGGATGAGAGTGTCTCAACTGAGCTACTCCAGCAGAGCCAGGGGCACAACTGCAATGAGCAGGCAAAGCCTGTCTTCACATCCGTTACCTCAAGTATGCTTTAGCTCTGGTGAAGCCACAGAGTATATTTGTATTTCTGTTGAAACCTTCGACTTGTTTCTTTTAATGCTCACCTCTAGGTTTCCTGAAATTGGAAACGATGTGTCCTGTGAAAAGCATTTGAGCTTCATCACTTTGCTGATGGTGATCATTGCTCCGCTGGCTGCGTCCGGGCATCACGCTGCAGCTAAATTAAATATCTTCAGCTGATAGAGGGGACGAGCGATTTGCTAATAAGCAGGCGTGGACCAGAGGGACTTGCTAGAAATTGAATAAGTGCTTATAGAAGCAGGAAGGAAAAAAAAAAAAAAAGTTCTCCATATTTCTGACTCTTTGAGGAATTCATAGGATTAAATCCTTCATTCAGCATCTTTCCTTTAAATATAAAAGGAAATCCCATGTTTTAAGAACATTGTTTTTCTTCCATCACAGAATTCCCATTTAGAAGGGCTGCTGAAAGGGATGCCGGGTGCCGTGCCGGAGCATGCCACCCCTGGGGCTGCCCCTTGCAGAAGCAAGGCCACCAGCTCCCAAGCAGCTCAGCTGAGCTCCTTTTCTCCCTCTTAAATGTCTTTTTTTTTTTTTTTTCCTGATGAATGCCAGGACAAGTTACCTGTTGTAGTGTCATCCGGATGGTTGTTGTTTCCTTTATGCTTTATTTTCTAATCGTCTCGAGAGATCTTGTTTCAGTTTCAGTTTGATAGTATGTTTTTACTATAATAAAAGTGGCATCGGTCCCTTGTTAGTAGAGTCTCGTTCTAAGCACCAGCCTTACCACTCGTTGTATCTACGTGAGCAGAAGTTCTTTGTGTGGCCCCCGCAGAGCCGGCTCTGCGTGCCCAGCTCAGCCCAAGCCCAGCACGGTCACCAGCTGCAAACACGCTCCCTTTTGCCAACGGCTGTTGCAGAAGAAAAGGTTTTCATTAAGGAAATCGAAGACCTGTTCCTGTTCTCAGCAAAGGTGCAGACCCAATATATGAGTCCTGTTTGGGGTAGAACAGCCTCTTTCTTTTCCAGATTTCCTCGTGCGTATCTCATGAACTTTTTCCCCTGTGAGATTTATAGACAGCCTTCGTATTTCACCTGATTAGTGGTATGGGCTGTTTGCTTCAGAAAATAGCTCCTTTCACCCTCTCAATGCTGCGCTGTGTGGTGGGGACAAGAGCCAGGCATCCCAAACCCGGTTAAATTTCTCTTTTATCTTAATAAATGGTGGCACCCAAGAATGTGCTTGAGACTCTGCGTACGGGAAGCCACCGCTCAGTGTGCTTGATAAGGCACAGGCTGCATTCGTGCAACGCTGATAAATGCATCTTGAGGAGGAGGAGGTGTTTTGGTGAGGCCGTGCACGGGCTGGCTGAGGCAGGTGGTTGCTGCAGGTCACCTCTGTTGTTTGCTGTGGCTCGTTCTGCTCCAGATAATCCATTTTCCTCTGCTCATCCCTTCCCGTGGTAGGAAGGGGCAGGCTGGGGGTCTCCAGCAAGGTGGGGATGGGAGAAGGTTGGGCTGGCCAAGGGTGCTCTCTGCACATCGTGCTGGCTCGGTGCTGCAGCCACACACAAAACCACCCCAAAACCCACCAGCTCCCTGGGACTGGGACTTCAAACAGCTCCTTTCTAGCTCTGCCTTGCATTTATCTGGTGGGGGGGTGGCTGCGTGGAGTGTGTTTGCCAGGAGTGGGGAGGCCAGGGCTCCAGGAGCGCCAGGCGCTGCGTGTCAGGAGGTTGGTTACGCTTCATGATCGATGGCCGTAGAAATCAAGCGTGAGAAAATGGACTGCGAGTTTGTGTCGTAGGCTAGAAGAGTTCTCGTCGGTGAAACTTCGCAGGCCAGCTCTTCGGAAGGGTCTGTAAACCCTCTTAATTCAGAAGAGGCCGTAAAAAGCAGGAAGAAAAAGCCAACAGAGAAAAGCAAATTAGATCCCAAAGGGGGGGAATTTTTTCCGATCTTGAGTTTGAAAACTGGAAAGAAATCCATCTGGTTCTAGGTTTCTGAGAACGAATGCATGAGTGTTTTGCACAATGGGAAGCCTTGCAGAGGTCTCCCAGCCTTTGAGATGAGAAAAAGGAGACTGAGCTCTGTCTCGGGAACAGCTTTTTGTGCAACAGGGAAATTGCATAGCAGAGAAACTGGGAGCAACAAGGAAAGCAGACCGGTGTGCTCTCCGAGGGGTAAATGCTTTCTGTGCGCTTCCCACAGAGCTGTTAGCTGCCCCCAGTATGAAGCACAGCTCTCCAGAGCCTGCGAAGAACTTGGTGGAAAAGGCTGAGGGACATCCATTGCTTCATCTCCATGTCTTGGTCTTGGTAGTGGGAGAGCTCCGGTGTCTGTCCGGAGGAGCCCGTTGATCCCTAGGGATGCTGCTGTGGCTTTATAACAGGGCTGAGCTGCCACCGCCACGAGCATCCTCTTCATCCCACAGGGACGAGGAGCTGGTGGCAACCGGGGACACCGAGCAGCTCGGCAGTGCAGGGAGGGCTCTGAAACATCTCCCCCCGCTTCCCATCACCCGGCGCTCGTGCCTTTTGGAGAGCGCCCAAGCAATAAGTTTTTACCTTTATAGCAACGTTTGCTCTCGAGGTACAAATTGCCGAGCTTAGCAGGGATGAATGGGCAACACTTTACAAGCTACCTTGGATGAAAGCAAGTCGGTGGGGGTGATGGTCTCCAGGGCCTTCGATGGAGGAGGTTTTCACTCCAGAAATAGCTGCCAGCCCCGGCGAAGGGTCTGGGTGTTCCTGGTGTGGAGGAGCCAGGGGGACAGAGGAGAGGAGAGCAGAGGCTCCAGCCACCACTTCCCTTGGACCAAGTGTTCATCTGGGCCCCGACGCACAGATAATTAACCATAATGCCTTTTTAAAAGCATAACTGTAGCTCACAATGGCCTGCCAGCCAGCATGGGCCATTGATTTTTTCCCCAAAATGGTTCTGATCCTTCTTTTCTGCTCAGTGTCACGGCTGAAAGTGTTTTCTTTATTTCCCTTGAAATAATAATGTAAATCTGGGAATTGGAAACCCATAGCCTGGTTGGTTTTTTGTTTTTGTTTTTTGTTTTTTGTTTTTTTTTTTAAGAGTATAAATTGGGGGAACTGTTAAAATTATATTATTCCTGGCAGTGAAATTCCTTTTTTAATAGATAATTTGAAGTTATTACATTGGAAGTAGTTTTCCCCACATGTGTGTGCATGCACAGTGTGGAAGGAGCAGTGCCGAGAGGGTTCGGGGTGGCTGCCGAGGCTTTCAAGGCGGTAGAAGTGCTGGGAGCTTGCCGGAGTCTGTAGTTTTTCAGCTGGCAGGAGGGAAAAAAACTCAAAGACACCATTTTGCAGTTCTTAATTAAGCCCAGTTTTTATCAATGGAAGTTTTGCCTTAGGAAGAACTGAAGTATTGGACTTTTTCTAGCAGGATCTGGTTTTTATTTTTCTTAGCTGTTCACTTTTACAAGGCTTGGGAGCACCAGTATTTTCTGCTATGCACCAGTGATAGACATTTGTTTCCAATTAGTATTTATTGGATTATTTTAGTCAAAAGTAAGCTTTGTATTAGAGCCCTACAATATGTACTTTGTTATTTGTTCACAGGACGGTGTTTTCTTTTTCTGCTTGGTTTTGCATCAGCTTCAGTCTACTGAAAAGCTGGTGAGAGGCGTCAATGCTGGGGATCTGCCCTGAAAGAGATTAAACAGATTACAGCCTTTTATAGCAGCATCTATTTCTTCCATCGGTACAGGCACATTTCTGACTCGCATGGCTGGAAACAGCAGCAGCTGGTGCGTGTCCTCAGGCTGTGTCCGGCTTTCTACTGCTTTTCCCAATTCCTGGAATTAGCTGGTTGCTCCCCATGCTGAGCTTTAGTGGGTAAAACCTGGCTCAGGTGGCTTGTGGCAAGATTAGCAGTAGGTACTGCTGGATTTATGGGTATGCACGGGGCTGGCTAACAAAGCTTTGGAAAAACACATAGGTAATGTTTTATGTAGGTAAAATAATATGGAAAACTTGCGGTTTAATGGCATCTGAGTTTCTGACTTGAGGTCGTATGACAAAAGAATTTCCGTAGTTTGCCTTGGGAATTAAAAAGCAAATGAAAATATGAATAACAAGCTAAACCCTCGACCAGTGCGTTTTTCCTGCCATAAATGACTGATCTTATTTTGGGAGAAAACCTCCCAAAACGAACACGGATCTTTGTGGATGAGGGTAGCTGCAAGTAGGAGCAAATACCAGGATTGGCCCCTTGGCTCCAGGTCTTGCCCAACCTGCACGGGTAGCTGCAGAGCTCGGGTTTTATCCTGCTTTGCTAATGTAAATCAGGAGTGATTGCCCCGAAGTCAGGAGAGCGATAAGTGCTCTCAGAGTGATGCAACGCGAAATGAGAAGCAGACTTTCTTTGGCGGAAATAACAAATATGCTTTTACAGGAGAATAAATGCAGAATACTTGGCAGTGGCTCACTGTGGAGAAACAGGCAAGTTCATTTGGTCGGAGACCAAGAAAAGCTGCAGAGATTCCGCAAGATTTAACTGCAGGTCAAACCTGAGTTTTCCTTTTCCTGCTGCCTATCTCTGTTTTCCACAGCACGTATAAAATATTATCACTGCAAACCGCACGTCCCAATGCAGCCTCTCCATGCGTATCCCACCAAGGACTATAAATCTCAGGTTTTTCTGCTTTTTCTTCTCTTCCAGGACAACGGGCCTGCCCAGAGCAGGAGGTCGATGCCACCGGGGGGTGGTGGCAGCCCCATGGACAACAAGCCGCTGCTGAACGTGCAGCATCACCACCCGACCCGGCTCTACGCCAGCAGCGGCTCCGAGGCGGCTCTGCCGGGGCAGCTGAGCGGGCTCCACATCGCTCCGGCCCCGGGGTAGGATCAGAACCCGGGTCCCGCTCCGGGTCCCGCTGCCGATTGTGCAAACTCAGTTTCAGGGGGGGTGGCGTTGAGGCTGTGCTGCTCCCGGAGTTCCTGGAGCTCCAGAGATGCTGGGTTCGGCTCCTGCTCCGCTAGTCAGGTGCGGGTGGGAGAGAAAAATAAAACAGAAACAAAACCCACACCCCAAAACCCCCAAAACAAATAAACCAAATAAATAAATAAATAAATGAATGAATGAATGAATAAATAAAACAAAACAAAAAAAAAAGGAGTTTTGGAGATGCCAAGTTGTGAACAAAATGGCCACGTGTATAGTCAGGTGCAGGTGGGAGAGAAAAATAAAACAGAAACAAAACACACACCCCAAAACGCCCAAAACAAATAAACCAAATAAATAAACCAAATAAATAAACCAAATAAATAAATAAATAAATAAATAAATAAATAAATAAATAAATAAATAATAAAACTAAACAAAAAAAAAAGGAGTTTTGGAGATGCCAAGTTGTGAACAAAATGGCCACGTGTATAGTCAGGTGCAGGTGGGAGAGAAAAATAAAACAGAAACAAAACACACACCCCAAAACCCCCAAAACAAATAAACCAAATAAATAAATAAATATATAAATAAATAAATGAATGAATAAATAAATAAATGAATGAATGAATGAATAAATAAAACAAAACCAAAAAAAAAGGAGTTTTGGAGATGCCAAGTTGTGAACAAAATGGCCACGTGTATCTGTGTAGCAACTGCAACACTGAATTTAAGCTTGTGATGCTGAAGCAACGTACAACTGTGTATCTTGGAGACGGGTGAAGGTGAAGGTTTTCCAGATCTACATACGATCCTTCTACTGCCGCTGGGACTGGGTAGATTAGCGGCATCAGATCCAGTCCCCAGGCTGGGATTAATGTTAGGGAGTGTCACAGGCATTAGTACCCTGTTTTTTCAAAGTATATATTCGAGGCAGGATGGAAGGCGTTTGCCCTCCTAGGAGTGGGGATCACACTTCCACAGACCCCGGAGCAAACACTTGGCCTGGGAGCTGGAGGTGTCGCAGAGAAAATTAACCCCAGTAAACTCGGGATGTTTATAAGTGTAAGATCTGCTTAACACAGCTGTCTGGGAGGCTGGGAAATAAGTAATGCTCCTAGGAAAGAAAAAGCTTTTGTGTAGCCGAGAGCGGTTTGGGTGGATAACTCACACTTTGAGACAGGTTAGGTTGTGGACTGCGATGCTTTCACACAGCTTACGCTGCTGCTGATTTATGCTCCTCCAGACTGGCAAAATATTCTGTAAGAAAATAACGTCTGTATCAAACACAAAGAGCAAAGAGAGTTTCTTTTCAGCTCAGGAACTCTGTGCCTGCATGAATTCATATTTCAGTGGCGCTGCGAGCCAGCTTATTCCCTGTGCTGCTCCAAGAAAGTTAATAAAGTTGGAAAGAAGAGAACCGCGCAAAAAATAGAGAGAACAAAATCTGATGTTATCTGTGCGTGAGCCAAAAGCCAGAAGATTAGGCTGGGTGTTTGAGTAGAATTGGGTCAGAAGTTCATTCCCTTTGAATTTGTGCTCGATCGGGCTGGACTGGTCAAAATCTACCCTTTTTCATTGAAAACGTGTGAATTAATGTACAAGAGGGCTGTAGCAGGGCAGACAGGCACTTGGGGAGGGTTTGGGCTGGCTGGGAGTTGCAGGGATCGGTCCTTTCCCATTTGCCCCTCTCTCAAGAGGTCGGAGCAGCGGGAGAAGCCGGCAGCAGGGATGGGACTGCCAGGCAGGTCGCTCTCAGGAAACGGAGCTTTGGCTTCTCTTTGAAAGTGAATTTTGTTTGGCTTTTTTTCCCTTTGTTTGAAAGTGAATTTTATTTCTTTTTTGTTGTTGTTGGTTTGGGGTTTTTTTGGTTTTTTTTTTTTTTTTTTTTAAGCGGGCATGAATATAATGCCCCTGGAGAAATTGAATCAGATGATGGCTAAAGTTAGTTAAGCTGCCTGATAGGGATCAGGGCTCTTGCTGTTTTTATTGGTTTTTACAATGACCTTGATGACCTTCTCCTTAAAAAGGAAAAGGAGTCCCTTCCCTCAAATCTGTGCTGTGCTTTGGGGCCTCAGCAAACACAGCAGCACTTGAATTCATCTCTACTCAGCAGGACAATGTGCCTGAAATATTTTGATTCCTAACTACGCCTTTCATGTTTTGGTATATTGAACGAACGGGAATAACAGTTTAATTTATTATTTGTTAGCTGTGGTACCCGGATCACGCCGCTCACAGACAAGGAGCAGCTCCTGGGCTGGGTGCTGAAGGTCTGCCTGTGGTTGTGGGGACAGTTACAGGGCTGATCTGTCCCCTGTGGGGTGATTTTCTCATTTGAGCTGTGTCTGGCAAATGGATTTTTTAATGCCTTACAGAAACATTCACTTCAGGGAGGCGCTGGGATGGTAAGGGGATTTGCTGTGCCTGGCAGCAGCACCCGCTTTTTCCAGCAGTACGAGGGGTGGGTAGATCCCCATGGCCTTATGTAATTAATGAAATGCATTGTTTTACCTGTTATTTCAATAAATTCCATGTGAGGCAGAGCTGCTTATAAGCAGCTGCCCTCTTTCCTGGAGGCATCTGGTTACTGGGCCAGCCCTGGCTGTGTTGCTCAATCAGAGCTGAAGATGGAACAAGTTTAACTACCCGGGTTCTGTGGCTGTTCCCGGGACAGACCTACCTCCAGGCAGAGAAACCCATGGGAACAGAGCGGTGCTGAATTGAATCTGTGGGAATGTGGAGGTTTCAGGACCTCCCCGATGAGCTGACAATTTCTGTTTATGTTTGACTTGAGCCTCTCTTGCTTTTTTTCTTTAAAACAGCCTCGATGCCTTGAAGTCTCTCCCACGGAACAGAAATGGGATTGATGTGGAGTCGGATGTCTACAAGATGCTTCAGGATTATGAAAAGCCCGTTTCGGAGCCTAAGCAGTCCGGATCCTTCCGATACTTGCAGGGCATGTTGGAGGCTGGTGAGAATGGTAAGGAGGTTGGCACCCACAGCGAGTCCCCTCCGCGTCCCCGCGACCTGCGCTGCTGCGGGGCTCCAGCCATCCTGTGGTCCCTCTGCACCCACCAAGTTGCTGCTGCAGGCTTAGCCTCCTTCTCCTTCCCTTGCTGAGCTCCAGCACCTGGAGCAGCCTCTAAAGGACTCATCTGCGAGAGCTGATGGGGTTTGCAAACTTTTCCTCTGTCATTTTCCCACGTGTCGCCTCGGTGCCAAGGCAGCCTGGCTCGGCACGGGAGGGTCCAAGCACCCTGGTGAAGGGGAACACCCAGGTGGCAGGTTTCCAGTCAGGGTTTCAGATGCTCGGGCCAGCATTTTGGGGCTTACCAAAGTCTGTGGCTGATTTGAGTGTCGTGTGAAAGTTGGATTTGCAAACAGCTTCTGCATGGCGGCTGTTTTCCTGAGCCGGTTTATGAAATGTAATGGCCTAAAGCGGTTGTGTAAGATCACCGGTGGAGAACCGTGGGCCTGTTTAAGTAAATGGTATTTGCATAAGGACGTGGGATGGCCCTCAGCAAGGCAGGGATAGAGATCAGGAGCTCTTGGCTCACCTCTCAGGTCTCTCACGACTTCCTGCCTGTGTCATTAATGCGGGAAGGAGCCAACTCTGAGCGTTAAATAATAACATCCCCAAACTGTACATTTCAGCTTCTTTTTGTTTGCCTCTCAACCTTAAGTCCATCGGAGCTTTCAGGTTCAAACTTTCAGGCTTCACTTTACAGTCATTAGGGCAAGACTCTTCATCCTGCTTCCTTCCAAGAGCCTCGTACTCCAATCATGTGAATCCAGGAACTTAGTTTTTATGGGAAAATACCAACTTCTGCAAATCTCATTATGAAGCTGCGAGAGGTAGCGAATCAGGCTGTTGCACTTCAGTTCCCATGTATATAAAATGATGGAGAAGGATATTCTTTAACTAGAAGGATATTGCTTCTTGCTTCACAAGAAGCAGCACGACCGCAGGTGACGTCTGACCATGAAGAGTTTCTACCAAAAGAAGAGTTTCTCAGCGGTATGTGGGTATGTCCACAAAGCATGAGATGGGATCGGCCTTGGAAGTACTGGGTGTAAATATTACAGCCCCTTCAAGGCTGGAAGGAAAACCACTGCTAATTACAAGTTCCAGATGTGCCTTCAGGTCCCTCACCAAGAGCACGCACAAGCAGCTTCCCGCTGAGGTGCCTGAGCACCCCCTGGTCCCCTCCTTAAGAAGAAGCAAATGAGAAGCGACCATGCTAATCCTAATTAATAACACTGGCAACCCCTTTCCCTACACGGCTGTGCTGTGCAGTGGGCAGAGGGGACGGGCAACTGGCTGCGGGCACGGTCGCGCTTGTGCCTCGGTCGTTCCGATGCTATCGGTGTTTATTTCATGCAGGATGAGAAATTAAGTGAAAAGCATCTCTCCTGGCATAAAGCTCTGTAATGTTTCAGGACAGTTTAAATCCCCAGGAGTGTTCCTGCTAGGTTGTTTTACAGCTTCCACTGCTGCTCCTTTTTCCTTAAGCCTAAAATGACACACTTTGGCCTGAGCCTGCTGTGTGTTGTCCTTTTAAAGTCAAGATCTTTCCTGAGGAGCTGGGTGTCTCAGACAAGGATCTGTTTTATATGGAAGGTGTTTCTACTGGAAGCCATATTTTCTCCAGCATCACCAGCCCCATCCCTCACCCTTAAGGAGCAACGCTTCATGCTGAGGATCTGGCGGAGGCTGGAGGAATCGCGGCGGTTGCCTCCGTAGGTGCCCTTGGCATGGGAGGGATGAGCACTGCAGCCACAAATGGGGATGACGATGGCTAAAATTGTGGAGTTAAAGCATCTCGCTGCCTTGCTGAGGACCATAAATTACAATGAGAACACGGGCTGGTAAATAGAAGGAAATGGTCCATCGTTTGGGAAGATGGGAAGCAGCCCTCTCTGCAGGGTTCATTTTGCTGTAAAATTTTTTATTCCCTCCCCACCCCCCCCTCCCGGCTCCTCTCTCTTTTAAGCAGCTTATCCAAGCTCTCTGTCTGAGACACAGTGACAGCTTAACTGTTAAATGTTGGCAGATGAGCGTGTCTAGCCCAAGCACACCATATCTCACGCTGGGGGAAACCAACAGCTTGAGCAGTTGTTTCGGTTTATTCCCAGCAAGGCAGCGGAAGGACTCGACAGGAGAGCTTGGCTGGAGCCAGCCGAGCCCTCGGAGGACCCCCGGGGTGGGGCAGCCCCGGTCTGCTCCTGGGCAGGCAGGCTCAGGCGTATCAAAGCTCTCAGCATCTCCAAAGATTATATTTTATCTTGGGAAAGTGGGGTTTGGTGGGAAATTAGCCTCAGATTTACTCGCTTGGCGAGAAGCCTTGGCAGCGTTGGTCTCTGAATCAGAGCCACGGCTGGAGACGGGGTCTGCTGCGAGAGGGTGCCCACGCATCCCGAGGGTGACCCCGGGGTGTTGGGGTCGGGCATGCCCCCCCTTCCCCAGCCGAGCCCTGCACCATGCTGGACCGGGGGGGTGGGGGGGTGGGGAGTGTCTCTCCGTGGAAGGAAGCTCTGCCGAGCGATGTGCTCCGAAACCTACCACATGAACCTCCCCCCCCCCCCCCACGGGTCAGCGAGGGACCACCAGCCGGGATGCACCGGTTCCAGGTACTAACGACTCGCTTTAGCAACAGCTGAGATGTTCCTGCGGCAGTGTGGGGGGGCACTTTGGGGAAAGATCCGAGTGGAAGTTTCCAAAACGGGTGCAGTGTGTAGGGACACCTGGGTCAGAAAGTGCCTGGGCCCCTGCTGAGACCTCCTGGGCATCACGGGCTTCCAGCACCTGTTTAAGATTGACCCTGCGCTGAAATACCCTGGAAGCTCAGGGAGCGTAGGAAGTCTGGATGCCGAAGAATGGCTTGTTTCATCCTCAGCTGCTTTGCCCAACTCTGTCAGCTGATGGAGGAAAGTACATTGTCCTTTTTCATGAGCTTTTCCTTTCTATAACCTTAGGCCATCACAGAGGAACCACAGATCAATATATACCCAAAAGCTGTGAGCCGTGAAAAATCACGCAGTGCTTACTGGAAGCTTTGAAGTGTCCCAGTGGTTTGCACTGCCCGGAGTACGAGGGCAGACAGTAGATGATCTGTAGGGAGGGGGGCTGCAACACTGAGACCTTTGCCATGATACTCTTCATATGCACAGAATTTTCATTACTTCCTTTCCTGTTGTTGGACCTTTATGAAAGGAGGCTTGATGCCCCAGAAGACCTTATTTTCTATCACAGTGTTTTATTTTGGGTTATTTGCGATTAAATGAGTGTTCTAAGAAGAATGCATGTAATTCTATTATTGTTTGTTTTCATTTTCTGAATTCTCCAAAAGGCTTTCATCTTTGTCTCCTTGATTGATGGTGGATCTACCAAGTACACCTGAAATGGTGTGATAGAACTTCTTTCTGGAGCTTTTCAGAGATTTTTGCTGTTTATCTATCTTAACTCACTAAGTAGTATTGCAGCCAAATTCACCTCATCTCTAGATTAAGGCTGCTTTGCCTTTTGACGAGGTGTATGTACTGAGTTGGCGCTACCACGGTACATGGATGGATCATCTGCTGATACAGCCGAGGGTTTCTGTCACCATCCATGCTTTGCTAGGGTGAGCAGAGGGTCAGCACAGTCAGTGTCCTTCAGTCATTTGCAAACCAAATCTGTGGCTTTTGGGATAGTTGGTCTCACTATTTGCTTTTTACTTCCTAACAAGCAAGTCACAGGTTCTGTTATGACAGGCAGAGACTCATCTGACTCCTTAAGAAAAAAAGAAAGGGAAAATAATAATAATAATAATTAATAATAATAATAATAATAATAATAATAATAATAATAATAATAATAATAATAATAATAATAATAATAATGCCCCAGGAGGACAAGTTTTCAATCTGTGTCTGCTTAAAATTCTTGGCAGGTGAAAAACTCGACAAACTGAGCAACCCCCGAAGCATCAAGTCCCCGGTGTCAAAGCTCGGCGGTGCCATGTCCGGGCTGCAGATGCTCCCCGAGTGCACCCGCTGCGGGAACGGGATCGTGTGAGTGTCGCGGCTCTTTGGGGACGGTACCGCAGGGATGCGGCTGGGCCGGGTCCTTCCAGACACACGGGTTAGAATTTAGAGCAGAATGCCTTGCATGCATAGCAGAACCTCTTGCATGCATAGCAGAATCCTTCACATTCATAGCAGAGTGCCTTGCATTTATAGCAGAACCCCTTGCATGCGTAGTAGAACCCCTTGCATTTATAGCAGAATCCCTCTCATTCATAGCAGAATCTCTTGCATTTATAGCAGAACCCTTTGCATTTACAGCAGAATCCCTTGCATTTTAGCAGAACCCCTTGCATGCATAGCAGAATCCCTCACATTCATAGCAGAATCCCTTGAATCCCTTTCTGGTTTTTGCTGACCATATATAAACCTGGAATTAAGGAATACGATTTGGATTGCCCCTTTTAAGGGAATCTTGCAGCAAAATGGGGATGATTCATGAGATGGTTTCTGCCCTGCTTATCATAGTAACTGCCTGGGGACTATGAATAGCGCTGGCACTCTTTCGCTGCCTTACAGAGGGAGAGACACTTTGAGGGTCAAGTAGGAGACGCCTGCGGATTAATTTTGTTTGTTGAAGAGTTACTCTCCGATGGATGGATGTTGGGTCTGATTTCAGAGAATGTATGCATTATTCTGCTTCATGGTGTTGTAATTTATGGTCTGGTGTAATTTACGTCCTGCTCAAGCCAGATTTGCTGGCTGAGAGTCTGCTGTGCAAACGCCTGTAACTGTGTTCTCGCTGCTGCTGTGAGCTGAAGGTCTGGGCTCCAAAAGCCACGGTGCCCGCGTGTGCAGCCCCAGCCCTGCCAGCAGCGCCGGGAGGATGCTGGCTCCCGATGTTCACATCCAGGCCGAGCATAGAGATTCCAGGCTCCACTTTGCATCGAGCCGTGGAGCAGGGCGGCCGGGGAACGGAGCGTCCCTCCCCGCAGAAATACGGTGGAGTAGCTTTGGGTGGGCTGAGATGTTGGCATGGGAACTCACAATAACACCCTGACGTGCCTCTACATGCTGCTTTCCTTCCCTTATGCCATTTTACTCGAGGCAGGAGGAAAATCTGTTTATGCTCATTATTTCCCCGCCTCACCCGAGCTCTCCCCGTCTCTCACCAGGGGCACAATCGTCAAAGCTCGGGACAAGCTCTACCACCCCGAGTGCTTCATGTGCGACGACTGCGGCCTCAACCTGAAGCAGAGAGGGTATTTCTTCATCGAAGAGCAGCTGTACTGCGAGACGCACGCGAAGGAGAGGGTTAAGCCCCCCGAGGGATATGACGTGGTGGCTGTTTATCCAAACGCCAGAGTTGAACTTGTCTAAACCCGGGCTGTGCTCTGGAGAGGTCGGGCGGCCGCGCGCCCACCCACGTCCTCCCCGCCGGCTGCGCAATGTGGCTGTAATCAACCCCGATTACCAAAGCCCAAGTTAAAATGCCTTTTCCTAGATAAAACCGTTTACACTTGGGATCTCCGGGGGATGGTGTTGAAAGCATACGAACAGGTTTTTCCCTTCTTTTTGACACTCTGCTTTTTGGGTTGCTGCGTTGGGTTATTAGTCTGTGCCGTAGCCTTATCCAAGATCTGTGTAAATACTGATTAATTCTCTAATCTGTTTCATATAAAACCAGTATTCCTTCTTTTGCTGTCCTCTTCTGAAAAAGCAAGGAAGATGTTTTAAAAGCTCAAAGCAAATAAGGCACTTTAACAAAAGAAGCTGACTCCTATATCCTAACCTTCATCTCCTGCCCTCCAGCTGCCCCAGTGATTAAAAACTGACCCCCTTACGAGTCTGGGATGTGTCACTGGTGGGTCGGGGTCCCCGGCTCAGCCCCATCCCAGCAGATGTGCTGAGGAAGGACAGTTTCTTTCGACAGTATTTGCTGTGAAATTTCCCAGATCAGGGCGCTGCAGTTTGAGGCTGACACGGACCGATCTGAGTTCCCCGAGAGATCTCCACACTGAGTGTGCGACGAGGCTTTTTTCTTCCTTCTTTCACTCCTAATTCAGTTGTTCTCTGTCACCTAATTGCCCAAGCGCACCTTTAAAGGACGCTGAAATAGCACAGAGCCCACCTCGGCCATTCCCCCCTCCCGTGCTCCTGCCCCCCAGCTGTCCTTGCTTTGGCCATTCTGACTCTTCCCCAGCTTTTTGCTATATTTTTGTAGTCTTTTATTTCTAGATCCCCAGACTGCTGCTATCCCAGCAGGGAGGGGGTGATGAAATCCCTCCAGGCACTTGGGAAGTACCCACAGCAGCGGTGAGCCCCGAGTTCGGATTTATACCCGTATCCCAAGGCTGTGCCTTCAGCCAGGTCCATTGTCTGCTTTATTTGGCAGGGACAAGTTTTTGAGGATCTTGGGATGTTGCTTTGTTGGAGAAATGTTTTATTCATGTTAGTGTTTGGAGGAGAGAGAGAGTTTAGTCTCCCAGCTGCTGGATGCCACTACACATGGTGGTAGGAGCTGTGTGTTTGGTACCACAAGGTTACTTCTGCTTTGCAGCAGCCTCCTTCTTCCTCACTTGAGAGAGGGAGGGTGGGGGGGAGAAAAAGAAATGTCTGTGTTCACTTCCCTTCTGTGGAAAAGGAAAGTAAAAGATGGGGCCAAAGCACTCCTTCCCCTTCTGAGTCTCCATAACAGGGGTCTGAGAAATCTGGGACTGGAGGAGGGTTGAGAGCTGACCATACAATTTCTTCCTACAGGCTCTGCACCCCAGAAGGGAGTAAGGATTTTAGGGTGTTACTGGGCTACATCTAGACCTCTTCATGCCTTACAGGGCTTGAAGCTGCTCCTGCCCTGTGCCCAGCAGCCTCCCAGCATGGAGCATATGTGCCCAAGCGTGCATCTTGGCTGGCTCCCACCTTGGAGCTGCAGGGATGCTGGCCGTGCGTGTTCTTGCTGGCAGCAGAACATCCTCCTCCCCTTCCTTCTGCCATCAGGATTTTTAATTATTTAAAGTACAAGAAACACATGGATGTTTTTATCACGGCGCTGAGCCTCGTTTTTTCTTGTATTTGCATCACCTTGCTCGGTAGGTTGGGCCATCTGAAGGGAAATACTTGGGACAACTGTAAATGAGGAGGAGGCTAACAATAATCAGGTGGGAAGCGTTGCTGCCCCTGTTTGCAGGCCTCTGCTTGGAGCTCGTTAGTCTGCCATTATCAGATATATTTGTTCTGAATTCCTCCATTAACCTCGTGCGTTGCTGAGGCAAGCTCTGGTGCCAGTAGCTTGAAAATTCAGGTGTCACCCAAACCCAGGACTAAATCCAGCTCAGCTGAGCAATGGAAAACTCACAACACGAGTGGCGTGGGGGGGTTTTCTGATTTCCCACAGCAGACGGTCGCAGCCGCCACTCCCTGCAGCTCCTGTCCCCCATCTTGTCCCCCCACGTCGACTCCGTCGGTTATGTCCTGCAGGGATGCCAGCTGTCTGGCAGCCCTGGCACAAGGGACACCTGAGAAATTCATAAATTGTTTCATTTCCCTCATTTTGAATACCTAACTGAGCGGGCTGCTGGTGGGGCATCCTTGGTCTCACCCGGCTGCTGCACCAGTACAGCACTGGGACCGCTGGGCATGGGACTTCTCTTTTAATTTGAAACAAAGTTCCCACAAATCAATTTTTCCGTGCGGTTGTCTCATGATACCCTTTCTTAGGAACAACCGACTCATTTGATTCCCCTGTGGAGCTTGGAGCTGGAGCCGCCCTTGCAACCCCCTCGCGGGGCACGTTGATTCCCGGCTTCGGGCCACCTCGTTCACGTTAGGGGGTTTGTAGGAGCTGCGGCAAGCGAGCATCCCGTGTCGCCAGGTAACACTATTTAACTCTGCAAAACGTGGGGAAGGGCGCCGTTTGTATGAAATACAAAATAAAATTGTATTGTCAGTTTGATGTCTCGCCGTACTTAGCTCGGCCTTCGCCCGGTCCCCAGCTGGGCCTCTCCCGTGGCCGTGCCCGTACGTGCGTGGGTCCCTCGGCGCCCAGGCAAGGACACAGGATAAATTTTAAAAAGAGACAGAGAGCCACACTTCTCATGGGGTTGTGCATGAAGAACCTGGGTTGAGGTTTGACCTGTGTTTTGGCATGGTGTTGGTTGGGGGTTTTTTAACTCATGAGACCTTCCTGGGCCACCCCATCGTGTCTCTGCCCATTATCTGAACGCCCACGGGTGCCCGGCTCCTCTCCACCGGTGTGACCCAGCTCATCCTGTGATGGTCCAGAGCTTTACCACCTCTGCCACTGCATAAGGCCAATGGAATTAAGTTTATTAGCAGTGTTTCACCAGCCACGGTGCTGCTCCAAGAGTATTTTCTCCCACGTGGCAGCCCACGCTCTCACTGGACCAGGGGCCACAGCTCTGCAGGGTTGGGGATGTCACCTGCCTCATGATTGGGGTGATCCAGAAGGGTGAACACCCTTCTCCCTAGTAAAGATGCAAACCACAGCCCAGCCATAAGCAAACCGTGCTCCTGAAAATCCCCTTGCACGGCGCCGGCTGTGGCGCTTGCTCAGGCTCCATCTCCATAAACCAGCACAGGGAGCCAGGAGCTGCGGCACCGGCACGGCGGGGGCAAAACCAGTCCCAAAAGTCCTGTCCCACCCCGTCATTGCTGACCCTCGACCCCCAGAAACCCCCCTGGGTGCAGGGGGGACCAGGAGGGCGAGGGCAGCTTGGCCGGGTTTCCACAGCTGTGCTGTAGCGGGATGCTTGCTCATGGAAGCTAGACCTCCATAGGTCTGGTTTTAATAGTTGATTGGTATTTGATTCACTGGTATGTGGGAAAGTCAAAAGCAATGCGAGTTAAGTGCCTCCAACAGATATTTAATCTAAAAGGTTTTATTTGGATGGCGTTCATATATTGAAATTGTTGCTTGTATGTGCCTAAAACGTTTAAAAAGACAAAGCCTCTGAGGATTCACATGTGGCATGGAAGATTTCCATCCAGTTTGGATCTGTTTAACTCCATCTCTAATTAGTGCACATATTCAAATAATTAACGTGCTTACGACTCTCCAGTTAGTGATTTTTCTATTCACCCCTAAGCGCATACATATGTCAGATGTGTTTATGTGCTGTAGCCACTGTGCACCCCGGCTCTGCCCTGGGCACTGGTGCTGGGAGGCTTCAGCCGCACGGCTGAGCTCTGGGGGGTGGCCCCCCAGGTGTGAGACCAAAGAGGGGGGACAGAGGGGGCCTGGGCATCCCTGAGGCCCCTCCGAGGCCCCCCCACTGTCCCTGTGGCAACCCCGGCCCCCGCAGCAGCCGCCGTCTGACCTGCCCAACCCCGGAGCCTCCGCCGGGCTCCTGGCTGCTTTGGAAAAAAAGACGGTGCAAGATCAAACATGATGAAGGGCACCGTTTATTAACGAAATGAGGTGGGACCGGGGCCAAACTGATTCAAGTTCTAATTGTTTAACTTTTTCCATGTATCATCATTAAAGTTTCCTACTTAGCCGGGCATTATTTCTACCACCACACCCCCTTTCTTCTGCTGCTTTTGTTTGGAGTTGTTTAACTTTGCTTTTGTTACTGGATGGCTGCCCCAGGGACCTTAAAAAAATCTCAGCTGGTCCATTTCTATTAGGATAAAAGTTCTTGTGCCATAGGAGGGGAGGTAGAGGGAAAGAGGCTCTTTGGAAAAGTTCCCTCTCCTCCCTTTCTCATGTCTGAAAGAGGCTATTTTAATTACTTCAGGGAAAAAAAATCTTCCCCACACATCTAATAAAACACACAAAACTGCTCCTGACTGTAAGGGAACATATATGCAAGTTATTTCACTTCTCTGTTTCTCCCCAGGAAAGCGCAGGCTGTCAGGAAACACCCACCGAGCTCCCCCAGCCTGGAAGGCACTTTTCACACCAGGATATTTAAATATTTTGAATTTTTATGTAGTCCTAAAGCAGTTCCTTCATGCAGGGAGAGCTGGTGGGGAGGTTCTGGGCTACGGCCAGCGCTGCCGCTTTGGGCAGTTAATGTGCACGGGGTCGCTGCCTTGCTGTGCAAAGACGCAGCTCAAGCCCTCTTCAGGCTTTTAGCTTTATTAATGAAAACAACTACCTTTTTTTTTTTTTTTTTTTTTTTAAGAAACGTGCTTATAATTCACTCCCAAACCTGAGGAGTGCGAGGAGGCCAGCAGCGAGCATCTGCCAGCACGATGGGACAGTGGGGCTGGGGCTCCCCCAAGGGACACTGAGCACCATCCTTGGGAAAGTCAGCTGGAGGGGACCTCAGGAGGCCACCCGATCCCTGCTCCTGTCCCCAGACCACACCAGCCACTCCCATCCCTCCTGGGACAGTCCTCGGGATGGAGACTCCCAACACCCCAGCCAGCGCATCCCGGGACGTTTCTGAACATCCGGAGGGGTGCAAGGGGGTGGGTGATCTGCAGAGGGTAGAGACTGGTAAATGGAGGTGCAGGGGGCTATATAGGGTGTGTAGGGGGTGCGTGGGGGTACAAGAGGTGCATAGGGGCAGATGGGGTGCCGGGCTGCCTGGGTAGACCGAGCTCCAGCCCAGCCTAACCTAGCCCAGCTCAGCCCAGCCCCGCTGCGCCTGCCTCCTGCACCATCTAGTGATGGAAACCGAAATATCCAGCAGTTTCAGGCAGAATGGGAGAAGAATCATAGAATCATTTAGGTTGGAAAAGACCTTTAAGATCATCGAGTCCAACCGTTCAGCCACCACTAAGCCATGTCCCCAAGCGCCACATCTACACGGCTTTTAAATCTCTCCGGGGATGGTGGCTCCACCACTTCCCTGGGCAGCCCATTCCAATGCTTGACAACCCTTTCAGTGAAGAAATTTTCCCCAATATCCAATCTAAACCTCCCCTGGCACAACTTGAGGCCGTTTCCTCTTGTCAACCAACACCCCCAGGGCCTTTTCCACTGGGCAGCTTTCCAGCCACTCTTGCTCAACCCTGCGTGGGGTTGTTGTGACCCAAGTGTAAGACCCAGCTCTGAGCCTTGCTGAAGCTCATACTATTGCTCCAACCTGTCCAGACCCCTCTGCAGAGCCTTCCTACCCCCCAGCAGATCAACACTCCCACCTAACTTGGTGTCATCTGCAAATTTACTGAGGGTGCACTTGATACCCTCATCCAGAGCATTGATAAAGGTATTAAACAGAACTGGCCCCAATACTGAGCCCTGGGGAACACCCCTTGTGATTGGCTGGATTTAATTCCATTCATCCACCATTCTGGGCCCGGGCTGGGAGAATTCCCAGCGTTGCAGGGTGGTTTCCAGGTGAGAACAGCCCAATACACCTGGAGGGCAGCATTTCTGAGAAATCTCTGGCAAAAGCTGGGCTGAGAGAGGCCGTTTTAAGCTGCAGCGATGGGTTTGAGCCTGTCCCCTGGGCATTTGTGTGCCGTCAGACATCCCGCCCCTTATCTTGACAAGATCCCTTGTCTTCCCTTGCTCTGATGCAACCCTGCCTGCCCTGACCCACATCCCTGTGCCCTGACACAAAGGCTGAGGGGCCAAGGAAGCAGGACCGGGTGATGCTGCCCCAGGGCATGGTGCTGCTCCTCAGTGCAGAGCTTTGCATCTCAGTGCATCTGCTCCTGCTGCGGAGCTTCAGTGGAAGCATGTGCTGGTGCCCTGCTAGCTTGCAGGGCCAAGGTGGTGCATCTTTCGTGACTGGAGTGACACTGCACCAGGTAAAACTACTGAAGTCCTTGGTGAGTGGTGGAGGGTCTTGGGAAAGCTGTCTCCACTTGAGCAGATGCGTTTTGGGGGGTATATCCTAATCCTGACACGCGTGCTACTGGCCCCCTGGCTCCACCACTTTTATGGGATCCTACCACAAATACAATTGCCTGAAAAATAATCATGCTGAGCGCTTGTCTGCCCAGCTCTGCTTGGGAGGGGAAGAGCTCGCACACCACTGCCAGGAAGTGGGAAGCAATGGCCACACCTGCCTCTAAAAGCTCTAAGTCCCATAAATGAATACGGTTTCAAGTGAGCACACTAGTCCCACCAAAGCAGAGGTTGCCTTGAGAGGGGCCTTGCCCAAGCAGAAGAGAAAAAGCAGAGCCGCCACAGGCGGTAACCACCCTACCCTAACCCAGAGCAGACCAGGAGCAACAGTGATGGCCACGCAGGGTGGCAGTGCCACGCAGGGTGAGGGTGATGTGACCGCACACAAGCAGGAGCCGGGCCACTCCACGGCCGCCGGGCAGCTTGCAGCATCACCACAGCCAGTGGTGCCGCGTCCTCCCCCAGCCCCTGTCTGACTGGTTTAGGCCATGGTGGAAAAATCTGTTTGCACAAGAAATATTTGCACAAGGGGTGGTTTCTCAGCTATTCAGAGATTCGCTCCTTCTCCCCCTGTGACAGACATTCTCCTCCTTTGCTCCACCGGCTCCTCAGCCTCTTGATTTCAGTTTACAGGAATCTCTCTGACCTCGTTTCCCACACGCTGCTCTTCATCTAATAGCTGAAATCATGTTTTAGAAGGTTGCAGTGAAATGCACTGACTGCTTTCGGAGGGGTCACCTGGGAGAACTAGGACTGTTCCTTCCCCTACAGTGAATTTGCTCCACAGCTGCCTGAGCCGTTTACTGGCCACTAATTCCGTGTGGTTTTCATAATCTCCATGCCTGGGTTGAAGCATCCCTGATGTTGGATCATAAGCGGGGTTTGCAATCAGGGGAGCACCCAGCAGAGGCTGGCAGGAGGGTCGCATCGCTCTGGGCTAAAATGATCGTATGCTAGTGGTGCTGTGGCAGAGCTGGCTACAACACAAGGTATTTCGGTAACCACTAATGTATGTAGATTCACAATATGAGAGTAAACCCCATGGTGTTTTCACGTTTATAATACATTAAGGATTCATCTGCAAACCAGATAAACCTGAGCATGCCATAAATGCCTACCGC